TCCTCTGTTTACCGGAGAACCATTGTATAGATGACCGTTAATTTTGTGTATCATAACTAACGTAGAATCTGAAAGGGATTCTAGCTGATCTGACTTTCTTATGAAATAAGATCTCATTGTAAATTTCTTATGTCTTCTTTATAGAAGAATGTTTCAAAAGTGAATGTTTACAAGAATTATCCTCTTAATTATTAATTATTATTATTGCTTATTATGAATGGTAGGTACATAAGTATTTCTAATAGTTGGATTTAGACAGATAGACATAAGAGTGGATGAGGCACTGATAGAGTAATTTTATCGCCTCAAAAATTGAGAGTGAAGGCTTTTTTTCCTCTTACATCCGTTTCCTTTGAGAAAAGTACTGTAAGTACAAGCCTAACAGTCTAAATTCTGGGAGCCAGAATGGTTGAAGAATGTTGGGGACCTTTTCAGTTGACAGATTTTTGCTTAAAATACCCATTTTTTAGTTTTATTTACCCCTTTTCTGCACCTGGTGTGTCTTATGCCATATCCTCTCTACTCTAAACTCTGTCTTAAAATTCTTTTCTTCTCTTGGGCTTTAGGGGAATAGTCACTCAGGTGACTTGTGGAAGATATTCTGTATTTTTATTAATATTTGGAATATTATGGTCAAAAGATGCAAAGTCTGTTTCCTGGGGTAAATAATAAATAGTAAATAATAGAAAATTATGTTAGGGAGAATAAGTACTTTGAAAACCAATAAAGTAGGATAATATGATAGATTCTAATAACATTTTAGGATTATCAGGAAATCCTGTTCTGAACATCAGAGTGAAATCTGAATCAGTTGTCAATGTGGAAAGAGCGTTCCATGTAGAGGAAGTAGCAACTATAAAAGGTTTGTGGCAGCAAGCTGCTGGGCACATTTGGGAGGTCGTAAAGGGCCTCAGTAATCCTTTTATAGAATTCTTCACTGGTTCCCCCCCCCCTATTTTTTTTTCTTTTTGAAGTCAGGTTTACTTTATATTCAGTAAAATTTAGCCTTTTTAGTGCATATAGTTCCTTGATTTTTGTTGAACACCTACAGCTATGTAACTTCCAACATCTTAAGGATAATAGATTATATCCTATCACCTCCTAAAGGTTACTCCTGCCCTTTGTAGTTATCCCTTCTCCCCACCCTAGCACCTAGGAGTCACTGTTTTGCCATTTCCAGAATGTTGAATAAACGGAATACTACAGTATATAACCTTTTTAGTCTGATTCTGTCTTAGCATATGAGATTTTAATTTTTGTCTTTTCTGATTTTCTCTTCAGTCTAACTAGATATTTATCCATTCTTTTCAAAGAATCAGCTTTTGGTTCAATTGAGTGTTTATTTAAATTTTTTTATGTCTTCTCTCACTTTTTTTTTTTTTTTAATGTTCTTCCTTCTCGCTTTGGATTTAATTTCTTCTTTTCCTAGTTTCTTAAGGTAGAAACTTAGGTTACTGATTTGACATTTTTCTAATGCAGGCAGTTACTGCTATAAATTTTCCTTTAAGCACTGCTTTAGTTGTATCTTAGAAATTTTGATATGTTTATTTTTATTCAATTCAAAATATTTTCTATTTTGTCCTGCAACTTTCTCCTTTACCCATGGTTTATTTAGAAATATGTTGTTTAACCTCCAGATGTTTTGATTTCCTTCCCTTCTTTTTGTTGAGCTTCATCATTTTCCATAATTTTATCTTCTGTTTCACCTATTCTGTTCTCTCCTTCCATAATTGCTGTCACTGTACCTAGTTTATTTTGCATCTCATTTATAGCATTTCTTCGTTCATCATGACTACTTCTTAGGTCTTGGATCTCTGCAGCAGTAGAGCCTCTGCTGTCTTCTGTGCTTTTTTCTCAAGCCCAGCTATTAGTCTTAACGACTGTTATTCTAAATTCTTGTTCGGATATATTGTTTATATCTGTTTGGAGCAATTCTCTGGCTGACGTTTCTTCCTGGATCTCCTTTTGAGGAAAATTCTTCCATGTCATCATTTTGGCTAGGTTTCTGTCTTTTATGTGTTTTAATAGCTTGTTATGTGTCCTGCACCTGCAAGTAGTACTATATTAAAAAGGTATTGTACGTTGTCCAGGGCCTGGCCCTTCAGAAGTGCTTTTGGAGTGTGGAGCGTGCACTCTGTGATTGCGTTTTGGCTGCTCTATCCCACTGGTCAGTCCACTGCAGAGCTCCGCCTTGCTTGTATCTGTGGAGTGTTGGGACCTTCCACCAGGTGTGCTTTGAATTGTTTGCTGGAGTAACCCTGGAAAAAAGGAAAGGAAGGGGGAGTCTGATCCCATATAAAGAGAAAAATGAAAGGGGTGGAAAAAAAAGACTTAAGCGGAGAATCAAAAAAACTATAAGGCTTAATTCAAGGAGAGAGAAAGGAAAATAAAGAAGGAGATCTAGAAAAGGTATAAAGAGAAAAGAGTAAAAATGCCTGATTAAACAAACCAAAAATTATATATATATAAAAAATAAGAATTGACCAAAAACCAACTCACACTATGAACCTGAATCCAAAAGGAAAAGAGAAGAGAAAAGAAAAGAAAAAAGGAAAAGAAAAACAAACAGACAAAACCACAAAACAGTTGTCTGTTGGTGCCTGAGACCCATGGCTGTGCTGGTCTGGAAGAGAGGCCCTCTGGTTTGGTTAGTGTCCCTTCTGCTTAGGTAGATACGCAGTTGCCAGGCACGGAGGGGGAGGGTTTGGTGTAGGCGGGTCCCACCTCCACTGGGGGCCCCTGTGCTGCTCCCTGAAGCCCTATGTTGTTGGTGATGGGGGAAAAATGGCGACACCCCAATCTCTCCTCCCCAGACAGGGGTCTCAAGCCACACCGCTCAGGCAGCCCTCACGTAGTGGCGCCAGAGGTGGGCTTGCCCTGCTCCACAGTCTCCAGTGCCAGAGGCGCTCAGCTGGGATTCAAAACCCAATGTCTTAGAGGGTCCTGCACCCTACGAACCCTGTTCTGGTGTAGCCCCACTCCGCCCTGCTGATAGAAGGCCTCTGGCTGGCGCCTACAGGGTCTTTTGTCCTTGGGGAGGCAGTAAACTCTTTTCCCACAGTACTGGAGGAAGGGGACTGTCTCTCCCGGTGCGCCCCTGAGATCGCTACAGGGCCCCAGGCCTGGCTCCCTTCGCCTCCCCACCTCCCCCGCGCCCCCCCGGGCACATGCACGTCACAGCTTCAGCTTCAGTCTGCAGAAAGTCAAGCACTTTTGAAAACTCTGATCTTCAGCTCCTAAAGCTGTTGCAAAATAGAAACTGGCACTCTCTGTAATTCTTGTTCCTCAGTCCGTGGTCTGGAGAGATTTTTTTTACCTTGTCGATACCACAGTTGCACAGAGAGGTTTTTTACCTTGTCAGTACCACAATTCCACAGCCTCTCTGGCTTTCCCTTTTATCTCTCCACAGAAGGGGTTCCCTCCCCTGTATGCCTCCTCTGTTTCCTCTGTCCCAGTTCACATACACGCACCCGGAATCCACCAGGCTGTCCCCCTCCACCTGTGGAAATCTTTCTGCCCAGATTTCCTGGGTGTTGCAAGTGATCTGACCTCCATACAGCTGTGTTTAAGGGATGAGGGAAATCCCCGTCCCCCTATTTCTCCATCCTAACTCCCCACTTCTTACCTCCAAATATTTGAGATTCCTTTCAGATCTCTTATTGTTACTGATTTCCAGTTTAAATATCCCTCTTAAGCCAAAACTTTTTTAGTTCTTTTAAGCATGTTGGTGTTTGTTTTATGGACCATAAAACATCAATTTTGGTGAATGTTCCAAGTATACTTGAGATTAATGTGTATGTTTGGGTGTTGCTGGGTTGAATGTTCCACAAATGTCAGAGCACTAGGTTGGTTGATAGAATTCTACAGGCTACTGATTTTCTGTTGTTGAAGTTTCAACTGTGGCTTGGTCTGTTTCTCCTTTCGGTTACCTCAGTTTTTGCTTCATTGTTTCAGAGATCTTCTACATAGAGCTTTTATACTTCCTTGGTGAATTGAACCTTTGTGTTATGTAATATCTCTCTTTAACCTGGTAATTACCCTTAATTTGAAGTTTGCTTTGGTAGTAATATAGCCATTCCAGATTTCTATGATTAGTGTTTGCATGGTAGATCTTTTTCTATGTCTTAGCTTTTAGTCTATGTCTTTCTACTTAAAGTGAGAGTTTTAGAGGCATCATATATTTCAATCTTGCTTTTTTATCCAGTCTGACAATCTCTGACTTCTAAATTGTGTTTAGGCCATTAAAAAAATACAATTATGATATAGTTGGTTTAAAATTTGTTATCGCTTGGGGTGCCTAGGTGGCTCAGTCAGTTGAACGTCTGACTCTTGATTTCAGCTCAGGTCCTCATCTCACAGTCATGGGATTGAGCTAACAGCGTTGCTCCTGTTTGGACTTCTCTCCCTCTCTTCCCCTCTCCCCTCTGCTCTCTCAGATAATAAACTTTAAAATTTGCTCTCTCTCTAATTGTTTTCTGTTTTCTAGTTGTTTTATTCTGTTTATTGTATTGTCTCCTCACATTTAACCTGATTTTGGATTGTTTGTCATTGATTTTACAGTTTCCCTTGGGTTTACGATTCATAATTTCAATCATAGTCTACTTTCCAATAATGTTTTTGCTTCATGTATAGTATACCTTACAATACTACTATCAACTCCTAATTATTTATTGTCTTTCATGGTATTACTGTAATATGTTTTGATATTGTGTATGCTGAAAATCTATAATAAATACGTACTGATTTTGGTTTAGTCAATTTTCTTTAGAGCAGTTTTTTTTTTTTTTAAGCTCTTTTTATCTTCATTCTAGCCATTTCTGGAATTAATTTCTTCATGTAGCATCAAGTTTCTTGTTATTTTGTTTCTACTCATCTCTTATAGTGTAAGTTTGCTGGTAATGAATTCTCTCAGCTTTGGGGCACAAGGAGGAATGAGAACTGAAAAAGAACCCACTTTCATTTCATTTTCATTTCCCATTTGAAGTTTTTGCTGGGTATAGAATTCTGTGATGACAGGGTTCCCGCCCCCCCACCCCATTTCAAACTCTTAAAGATGTAGCTCCAGCATTCTTTCTTAGACATGGTGTTGATGAGAAGTCATCAATGTATCTTTGCTCCTTTATACATATTTCTCATTTTTATCTGACTTCTTTCAGGAGTTGTGTATGGTACTTCTAGGAATATGTAAGTGTGTTTTGATTTTGGGGTTTTCTGAGCTTCTTGGATATGTCTACATTATTTTTCATTACCTTTTCAAATAGTTCCTTTGTCTCTCTCTCTCTCTGTCCTCCCCCTCCTCTCCCTTATTCATCTGCTCCTTGTACTTCCTCCTCTTGGATTCCAAAAATTCTTTCTAGATTCTTATTAGATATTGTCTCACAACCTTTGAATCATCTGTTCAACTTTTTCCCCTTCTTTTCCCCTGTTTTAGTTTGGATAATTTCTGTTAAGCTATTTTTTTTTTAATGTTTCTTTATTTATTTTGAGAGTGTGGGGAAGGGACAGAGAGGGGTAGAGAGAGAAACCCAAGCAGGCTTTGTGCAGAGCCTTACACAGGTCTTGATGTCATGAACTGTGAGATCATGACCTGAGCCCAAATTAAGAGTGGGATATTTTAACTGACTGAGCTGCCCAGGTGCCCCTGTTAAGCTATTTTTATAGCTTAACTGTTCACTGATTTTTATTCTTAGCTCTTTTGAATCTATTTATTAACCCATTGAAGGTATTCTTCATCTCTGTTAACTGTTTTTTTTTTTTTTTAATCTTTAATATTTTCTTAGATTCTCATTTCTTCATCTGTTTCTTTGGTGATATTCATCTGTTCGTGCATATTTTCCACTTTTTCTACTAGAAGTATTTACCATATTAATCATAGGAACTTAAAATTCACTGGGTGAAATTTCCAATATTTGTGTTATGAGCAAACCTGGTTCTCCTGAAATGAATAGTATTTATGTCTGATAATGGGTTTTTTTTTTCTGCCAGGCAGTTAGCATGGAGGTTGAGTCAATTTAACGGAGAGTTGAATTGGCTTTGAGTGTTCTTGTTTAACATGATTGCCTTCATTTTACCCACTGCTTCAGATTCTTTCAGCGATCTCTTGTGCTGAGGATGGGGGATTTTGTTTCTGGACTGTTTTATCCTTACGTTTTGGGCTGCTTCGTTGGCTTGTAGCCTCAGATTTCTAGTGGTTTTAAGCACTGTTGTGATTTTTATAGGTCATCTAGTTCTTTGTTGTTGTTTTTGCTGCTGCTGCTATTGCTGTTGCCAAGGTTTGGAGTGGACCTCTGCCCAGCATTGTACATTCAGGGCAGAAGCAGAATTCCTGTAGACTTTGTTCAGCCTCATCTTGCGCTTCAGCCTTTAGAGGTCCTTAATATCTTTGGTTCCTGAAGTTTCCTTTGTACCATGTTGGAGTTCATTTGCTTGTTGATGGCTCTTCAGCTTTGTACCTTCCAGCATTTAGAAGGGTCAGGAAAGCTATAAACTAAGTTTAGTTGGTGATACGTCCAGCTTACAAAATTTTTTTGACAAGTCACATGCGCTGTTTTCTCCACCATTTTTCGCTAGTATGGCAGAGCTTGAGATTTCGCTAGTATTGCAGAGCATACTGCTGTATGTAGGGGCGCCTGGGTAGCTTAGTTGGTTAAGCATCGGACTTTGGCTCAGGTCATGATCTCGCAGTTGACAAGTTCGAGCCCCGCATCAGGCTCTTTGCTGACGGCTCAGAGCCTGGAGCCTGCTTCGGATTCTGTGTGTCCCTCTCTCCCTGCCCCTCTCTCACTTGTGCTCTGTCTCTCTATCAAAAATAAATAAACATTAAAAAAAAATTTTAAGTAAATAAACTGCTGTCTGTAAGTCTTGTTCAGCAGTTGAGATGACCCGTCACAAACAAATTAGGAAGAGAAATATAGGAGGAGACTTTTTGAAGGATCTGGAAAACCTGTTGACATACTTAAAATAGAAGTAGTTTTCATTAAGTTGTAGAGGTACAGCGCCTTTCATACGTTTTACAGTGACCAAAGAGTATGTTCATTGGGCAACTCTCAGTACCCAAGTCTACACACTAAATGAGAATGTTCGTATGATCTGATCATTTTTCTTCTGTTTTCCCCACTAAAAAAAATGTTGGGAAGACCTACTATGTTTGTTTCATGGCCCACAAAGGGAGCTGCCACCACCACATTGAAAAATCTTGCAGTGTAGGTTCCAATAGAGGTGTTAGAATTACTGTTTTATTTGTACTTGGTTTGAATACATGAAAGATTTTCAAAATATGTGTGTATATTTTATTATTTTGTGCTTTACTTTTGTACTGAAAACACATTTCAAAAGTGGATTTTGATAGTTGGATTTTCTCTCATTAAGGCCGTTTACATCACTGGAAAAGAAGTTTTCAGCTTCAAAATGGTCTCTTTTGTGGATGCAACTGCTGGTTCTGCATACACAGATATGAACGTGGTTGACGTTCAAGTTACTTTAACTGTTGGTTGCATTGAAGTAGTTTTTGTCACAAAATTTCTATGTTCTATATTGGTAAGTATACTAATCGATTTTTTTATTTTTTCTTACTATTTGGAAGTTATTTTCTGTGTTAGGTGAAGAGCAGTAATTCCTCACTTGATTTTTTTCCCCTGATTTTTCAGAATTTTCTGGGTATCTTTTATCAATGCTGAAATGCATAGTGTTTTATTTATATAATATCATTTTCATATGAGAATAGCGCAGTTATTTCAAGCATACATATTAATGTATTTAATATACGTACGTATACCATACATGGATTTGTTATATGTGTTAATTGAATTCTTCATACATAATTGGTTTAAGTCTTTGTTTTACCTGACTTCCAACTCTAAATAAAAATACTAAATATAAGGATGCCTAAGTGGCTTAGTCAGTTAAGCATCCAACTATTGATTTTGGCTCAGGTCAGGATCTCACAGTTGGTGGGTTTGAGCCCCTTGTTGGGCTCTGTGCTGACAGGGTGGAACCTGCTTGGGATTCTTTTTCTCCCATACTCTCTATGCCTCTCTCTCTTTCAAAATAAATAAATTAATTAAAAAAAAAAAACTCTATGACTGAAGTTTGTTTTGGTCTCATGTAAGTAATCATTATGGAAATTATGTTTTCTATTGCGTGTTCTATCTGGGGTGTAAAGGCTTTAGAATGAATCTCTATATGATACCACCGTATGATGTTTGATTTCTTTTTCTGTTTTTCATGGTTATTTTTTTCCTGTATCATACCTGTCTTTAGGACTTCAGTATTCACTTTTTTTTTTTTAATTTTTTTTTTCAACGTTTATTTATTTTTGGGACAGAGAGAGACAGAGCATGAACGGGCGAGGGGCAGAGAGAGAGGGAGACACAGAATCGGAAACAGGCTCCAGGCTCTGAGCCATCAGCCCAGAGCCTGACACGGGGCTCAAACTCACGGACCGCGAGATCGTGACCTGGCTGAAGTCGGACGCTTAACCGACTGTGCCACCCAGGCGCCCCAGTATTCACTTTTTAAAAAAATGTTGTCTTTAAATCTTGGTGTATAAACTAGGTAATTACCTGATTCTAAATAAATGTTGCTATTTTTGTGATCTTTTTAAAATTTTTTTAAAGTTTACTTATTTTTGAGAATAAGAGTGAGCATGAGTGGGGGAGAGGCAGAGAGAGAGGAGACAGAGAATCCCAGTCGGTCAACCCAGAGCCCTATGAGCTCGAACACACATATCGTGAGATCATGATCTGAGCCAAAATCAAGAGTGGGATGCACTGAGCCACCCAAGCGCACCTTTTTTTGATTAAATATCTATTTTTGAGAGAGAGAGAGAATTCAAGTTGGGGAGGGGCAGAGATAAAGAGGGAGACACAGAATCCCATGCAGCCTCTTGCACTGTCAGCACATAGCCTGACATGGGGTTCAAACCCACTAACCATGAGATCATGACCTGAGCCAGAGTCAGACACTCAAGTGATTAAGCCACCCAGGCACCCCTGTGATCTTTTTGAGATTATAGTGCAATTTTTCCTGTAGCTTGTAGTGTGTTTTCATACTCAAATGGTAAATATGAACAAGCATTCCTGTTATAATTTTTTTTTTCTGATTTATTTTTTAAGTTTGTTAGTTTATTTAGTTAGAAAGGACACAAGGGAGGGACAGAGAGAGAGAAAGAGAGAATCCTGAGCAGGCTCCGCACGGTCAGCACAGAACCCAGCGCGGGGCTTGGTCTCTCAAGAACCATGAGATCATGACCTAAGCCGAAATCAAGAGTTGGGTGCTTAACTGACTGGGCCACCCAGGAGCCCCTCTAATTTATCTTTATAACTCAGCCTCATTATGTCCCTGAGCCCTGCTGTGATGGCCTTTTAGTCTTAAATTACTGAAAATACGGGTGCCTGGGTGCCTTGGTTGAGTGTCCCACTCTTGGTTTCAGCGTCAGGTTATATGATCTTGGTTTCCTTAGTTCGAGCCCTGCTTCAATGTCTGCACTGGCAGTGAAGAGCCTGCTTGGGATTCTCTGTCTCCCTTGCTCTCTGCCCCTCCCCTGTGCACCCTGGCTCTGCCTCTCTCAAAATAAATAAGCTAAAAAAAACCCTTCTGTTTAAAAAAAATTACTGAAAATAAGTTGTTTGGAAACAAATACTGAAAACAAATTGTTTGGAAATTAGGTATAATTCTACATACATTTTATGTCACTGAAATATTTTTTCTAGAGGTCAGAATTCAAAAACTACAGAGTTCTTGACATTTTATTACTTTTCAAGTTACTTTGTAGTTTACAAACTTAAATAAGCTGTCTGTCCTTTGAGGTTGTATAGGAGAATACAGTGTGATTGCTTAGCCATTAGGGAAAGTATGTTAATAAGGGTAGTAGGTATATCACTGAAACCTTGCAATATCTACATGTTAACTTTTTTCCCGGGACAAAATTTTTGTTGTTTTATTGTTTCTGTATCTGTATCTTACTGTTTCTCAGTTTTCAGTGGAGAATATTGAGATTTAGTACAGATAACCAGACTTGGATAAAAGAATGCTTGGTTGTACCGAGAAAAAATTTTTCTCACGGAAGTAAGATCATCAATATCAGTATGCATTTAACATCAACATTCATTAATGGTAACCTTAATAATATAATTCTGTTACCTTTTAGGCTTTTATAGATAATTTTCAAGCGGCTAAACAAGCTTTGGCTGAGGCTACTGTTCAGGCAGCAGGAATGGCGGCTACTGGTGTAAAAGAACTGGCACAGAGGAGTTCTAGAATGTCATTGGATGTTAACATCAAAGCCCCAGTGGTGGTCATCCCACAGTCTCCAGTTTCTGAAAATGTTTTTGTTGCTGATTTTGGACTAATTACAATGACAAATACATTCCATATAATAACAGAGAGCCAGAGCAACCCCCCACCCATTATTGATTTGATAACAATAAGGCTGAGTGAAATGCGACTATACAGGTAAGCTTTTCTTAGGTACATTTGTGGAGAATGCAGTCTTTTTCAGACTTTTTACATGAGAGGTTTTGGTATCCGGAGTCTTCTATCTACAGGGAGATTTTATTTTATTATAACTATACTAATTTTGAGAATTTCTCTTGTGCAAGTTTTTTGAAAACCTACATAGTATTTGAAAAATGCTCCTTAGGTAACCAGGAAGACTAAACAGTTTATCTCTCAGGAATGACTGTTGTCTGATGTTCTGTGTCTTGAAAATCATTTTTAAATGTTTTTTGTGTGAGTTTTTTTTGGTGAAGGGGATGAGTTGTTTCAGGCAGTGTGATAAATTCGGTTTATATTATTTCATGTTGGATGGAAGGAGAAATTTAAGCACCTCGTGTATCCCAGGCACTCTTCTGGGAACAAGACGTATTATGATGCGCAATCTTTACAAAGGATGAATAAACAGTTTCTACTTCATTGTCAAGGTAGCTGTTCTTTAATGAAAGTAATGAGCTGATGCACAAAAATGGGATCACACTTAGATTTTAGAAGGGTTGTAGAAAATAGGTCAAAAGGAGACAACACTAGAGGTTGAAAGAGTGGTTTACTAACTACTGGTGTGATTTCCATAAGAATTATATGTGATGCTGTCTAGGGTAGGGAAGTGAGGTAGTGGAGAACTAGCCAGTTAAGAGAAATTTAAAAAGTAGAATATATAGTAAGAGATTACTGAATGGATGTCAGAGTTTGAGGAGAGAAATTTGACGCCAGATTGCAGGCTTACAAAATTTGTTATTTGGTAATAATGCAGTTCACCGAGATAAGATAGAACAATGCAGAAAAAACAGTTGAGTGGAGACATTGAGTTCTCTAGTGGGTAAAGTAACTTGGAAGTTGCTGTCTGACTTTGGTATAGAGATCTATAGAAAAAGATTGGAAGGCACTTGAATGTATGTGTGTAGATTTTAGGAGAGTGTTTGGACTTCCGGATTTGGGTGTCCTTAGTAATATTTAGCTATCTATTAAAGTCACTGAACAAGTGATATCACATAGTTTGTAGAGTGGGACATACGGGACAGAATCCTGATGAATGCCAATACACAAGGCATATATATTTCTCAAAAGAGACTAAGAAATGGCAGGCAGAGAGATGGGAGGCATTCCAGGAAGATATGTTGAGACAATGTTGAGGACTCTGTTGACATTGTTAACCATGAATTAAGAGTACATGATAATTTTTTTCATGTAGTACTTGATATTTGGTGTCGGATTCAGGCAAGACTGAATTTTTAACAAGCAGGTGTGACCAAAGTGGGACAGGATTTTTAAATATTGAGAGTCATGTTGATGGAGAATGGAGACAGAAGAAATCAAAGATAAGAGGGTACATAAAGAGTAAAAGAATGTAGAGAGAGGTTTATAAACTGGAAATTCATCAATCTTAAAGTCTTCAAAAATAAGCACTGACTAGTTGATACAGGAAAGCAAGAGTAGAAAGTGGTAAGTCTGGATGATGATATTCTTAAAAGGATAGGAGTGAGAATTGAGTATCATTACAAACTAAGGAAAATGACTTCTGTCTTTTAATGCTGAGATGAATAAGATGTTGGAGAAAAATTGGCCCCTATTTAATAGAGCTCCATGGAAAGCCAGGTTTCGGTTACAGTGATACATTTAGTGAAGACATTGGAAAATGTAGATTTGTTCGGCCAAGCCCAGGGAATTCAAAAATCACAGGGAAATATTGGGGTGAGAGACTTTTATTTTAATAATAGGCTATAGATACATAGAGACACTTTAAACTTCAGATGGCTCATTAACTTTTAAACTGTATAAAAGTCTAAATTTACTAAAAGAGAATATGTATCTAAAATCACATCTTGCCTGATTTCAAGAAATGGTACATGTAAATCAGGTGTGAATCTATATTACAAATAGATTATCTGCTTTGAAAAGAGTTTACTAAGTATCTTTAGAGCATTAAAAATATTTATTTTTATGTCCAAAAATGAGTTAACTTTTTACTGAAGACATAACATAAAATGGTATTAGGATGAACAGAAAAATATGACCACCCAGAGGTAAGTACTATTAATAGTTTGGTATGTTTCTTCTAGTTCATTATTTCTGCACATATATGTTAAGTAAAAGAAGAATTATGTATTTTGCATCATAAATACATTTTTTCCCTTAACAGTATGCTATAAATATTTTTCCATATTATTTCGAGTACAAAATTATTTCTAAATACTTCATTTTATTCTGTTAAAAATTAGTTGCCTATTTAAAAGTTAATTTGATTGTGAGTTTTTTTTGCTGTTATAAATAACGTTAAATTATTCCTATCATGACATCCTACTCATGTCGTTAGGATAATTCATTTCCTGCAGATGAATTTCTAGAATAGAATTACTCAGTTATACAGTTACAGGTTTTCCCTGAAATAATTTTCAAGTTCTTGATATTTGGAAATTCAGTTTGGTTTCAGCTTCATAGAAAAGCACATAAAGACAAGTAAGTATTTTATTTTTGTGACAACCTGTGTTGAAATCATTTTTTTGCAAAGCTACTAATCGCAATGTAAAATTTTTACAAAGATACTTATAGTACTTCTATAAGGAAAGTTGTAGACCTTAACCCATGGCCAGAAAGAAATCTTGAATACATGTGGAGAGAATATTTTCCTAGATCTAATATTATAAAGATGTCAGTTTGTATACATTGATTTTGAGGTGGGGAATGGAGACATCATAACATTAGAGGTACTACTAAAATATATAGAATTGCACTAAATACTTCTAAAATGTATTATAAACTACAATGATTAAAATAAAGAGAATAGAAAGGTAAGCAGCAATTGACCATCTGCACGTACGTGTGTTACAGTCATACATACATATACAGTCAGTCTGCAGTATTCTTAGATACCATATGTGTGAACTTGCCCATTCGCTAAAAGTTATACGTAACCCCAAAATCAATAAACATGACACTTTTGCAGTTATTTCTGCGTGTGCATATCCATGAGAAGTGTTGATCTTCCAAAACCTGTGTTCCCAACTAAGGTGTCAGACAAAGTGACACTCTGTCTTCTTATTTCAGCAAATAATTGTATAGCATATGACGTACTGCAATTATCTAAGCCAAGGACTGGCAATACAGCATAGATTGAGATGAAGTAGTCCCCTTTTTTCAGGAAGATTTTATTCTTTATTTTTTTAAATGTTTATTTTTGAGAGAGGAAGTGACAGAACATGAGCGGGGAAGGGTCAGAGAGAGAGAGGGAGACAGAGGATCCTAAGCAGGCTCCAGGCTCCAGGCTCCATGCTGACAGCAGAGAGCCCAATGTGAGGCTCAAATTCATGAACCACAAGATCCCGACCTGCGCCTGAGTCAGATGCTTAACCAACTGAGCCACACAGGGCCGCCATCATGAAGCTTTTATTTCTAACTGAAACTATAGACAAGACAATAAACTATTAAAATACAGTATATAAAATAGAATGTGGGAGCACATAGGAAAAGTATCTATCCCAGATACTGAGTAACACTGATAAGGCAAATATTTTTAAGGAAGTAATCTTTTGACACAGCAGTTAATGTTAATTTCTTACAGTTTATCCAGAACAAGAAAGTTAATCAAAAATAGGTACAAAAGTACTGATCCAAGTATTTATTTATACTGAAAAAATAAAAGCAACATAACTTTCAACAATGGAAGGTTAAAGTTATAGTCATATAACATGCACCTATTAAAATTGCATATGAGGAATTTCCAGAGAAGAAGGCAGAGGGGGAAGATCTGGGTTCACCTTGTCTCATGGATACCCTTAGATAATACCCACATCAGTATAAATAACCCAGAAAAAGACCTGAAGACTGGCAGAACAGACTCCACAGCTAAATGTAGAAAAGAGGCCACGTCAAAGAGGGTGGAGACAAGGTGGGGAGCCAGACTCAGCCATGAGGCTGTCAGTAGGAGGGCGGGACACCTGTAGGCATGGAGAAGGGAAAGGAGCAGGTACCTCCGCAGGCACCGGGAAGATGGATCTTCCATAACACTTGGCTTCGAAAACCACAGGGGTGTAAATTTAGCAAGTTCTTACTATCAGTGGGCTTAATACCTGGAACTTTAAAAATTCAGGTTCGGCTCTGGGAGAGCCAGGGCACAATGGGAAATGGAGTACCCACCCTCTAAGAGACAGCACAACAAACAGCCCCCTTGCACAGAAGCAGCAGTTTGAAAAACACTGAGGGTAAACAGGAAGGAGATTTATTTACTAACCTCAAGTCTTGTGCAGAAGGGATAGGAGTTTTTGGGAATCCGCAAGAACAGAAAAGCTGACCATTGCCCTTACCCTCCCCTGATAGATACATGAGCACCTGTGGGAACCAGCACAGTGCAAGCACTCCCCACCTAGCTTGTTTATAGTGTGTCCTGTTGCCACACGCTTCTGTAGACCCACCCCCATCATCCTCGCTGGGCAGTTTTCCTGGTTGGCTGGAGATCCCTCCCATAGCAGATGAGCATAGACCTTGCTGACACCACGCACTTTGCCCGCACATTCTCCCGAGGACCTGCCCCCTCCAGCGTGCCCTTGGCAGGCGTCCATCCAAAGAGATGGGACAGGTCTGCCACTGTGCAAGCAGCCCTGAAGGTGGGGGGGCAGCCCCATTCCAAAGTGACTCCTGTGATGGGGATAGGGGAAATAAACCACATAGTTCAACTCTGGCCTCAGCAGTGGGCCAGGCACAGACATCTGGTCTGACTGCAGGCTCCACCCACTAACAAAACTTGTCAGGGGACAACACAGGGAGAGGCCCCTGTGGTTCAGTGCTACCACTGTTCTGCCAGACACTTGGTCTGACCCACCTCAACCCCAGGGTGGCCCCATACCGGACCGCTAACAACACAGGTACCAAACTCTGCCCACAACAAGCAAAGAGCACCATTTCAGGCAACTGGATGGAAGGCAAACACAGCTCAGCAGTAGTAGGGCATACAACACATAGAGGACACTCCTTAAGCACCACATTCTGATGAACAGGGGACCTTGCACTGCTGGACACCATGTGGACCTTGTCTTCATAAAGCCACTACTTTCAAGAGCAGGAGACACAGCTTTTTTTTTTTTAATTTTTTCTTAATGTTTATTTTTGAGACCAAGAGACAGTGTGAGTCGGGGGGAGGGACAGAGAGAGGGGGCGGGGGGGACACAGGCTCCAGGCTCTAAGCCATCAGCACAGAGCCCAACGCAGGGCTTGAACTCAGTGATCACGAGATCATGACCTGAGCCGAAGCCGGACGTCCAACCTACTGAGCCACCCAGGTGCCCCACAGCTGACTTTCTTAATGTATACAAACAGAGAGACAAAGTGGAGAGACGGAGGAGTAAGTCCCAAATGAAAGAAAAGAATAAAATCACAGCATAAAAGCTAAACAGAATGGAGATGATATGCCTGATAGAGGATGCCATTGAAAGTAATGATCATGAAGATACTAACTGGACTTGAGAAAAAAGGAGAGGACTTCAGTGAGACTCTTAATAAAGAGGAAGAAAACATTTAAAAAATCAGAGATTAATAACTCAATAACTAAAGTTTAAAATATATGAGGAGTAAATACACTAGAGGAAGCAGGAGTATGGATCAGCAACCTGGAGGACAGAGCAATGGAAAGCAATCAAGCAGAGCAAAACAATAGTGAAAAATGAAAGTAGATTAAGGGAACTCAGTAACACCATGAAGTATAATAACATTTGTATCCTAGGGAACCCAGAAGGGGAAGAGAGTAAAAAGGTGACAGAAAATTTGTAGATATGATAGCTGCCACCTTCCCAAAAATGGAGAAAGAAACAGAAATCCGGATCCAGAATGCACAGAGAGCCCCCAACAAAATCGGCCCAAGGAGACGCACACCAGGATACATAGTAATTAAAATGGAGAAAAAGTAGTGATAGAGAATCTTAAAAGCAGAAAGAAAAGAGAAAACAGTTACATACAAGGGAAACCAAAGCAAAAATAAATTATTGGAACTACAGCAAAATAAAAATCTTCCCAACGAACAATCAAGAAAGCCAAAAGACCAGCTATGAATGGAAGAAGGTATTTGCAAATGACACATCTGGTAAGGGGTTATTATTCAGAATACATAAAGAACTTCTACAACTCAACACACACACTCACAGTTTAAAAAAATTCGCTGAAGAGATGAACAGACATTTCTCCAAAGAAGACATCCAGATGGCCAGCAAACACATGAAAAGATGCTCATCATCACTCATTATCAGGGAAATGAAAATCAAAACCATATTGAGATATCACCACACACCTGTCAGAATGGTAACAATCAAAAACACAAGAAACAACCAGTGTTGGTGAAAGTGTGGAGAAAAAGGAACCTTTGTCCACTGTCGGTGGGAATGCAAAATGGTACAGCCACTGTGAAAAACAGTATATAGAGATTCATTTAAAAAAATTAAAGAGGGGCGCCTGGGTGGCTCAGTCGGTTAAGCGGCCGACTTCAGCTCAGGTCGTTATCTCGCGGTCCGTGAGTTCTAGCCCCGCGTCGGGCTCTGTGCTGACAGCTCAGAGCCTGGAGCCTGCTTCAGATTCTGTGTCTCCCTCTCTCTGACCCTCCCCTGTTCATGCTGTGTCTCTCCCTGTCTCAAAAATAAATAAACGTTAAAAAAAAATTAAAGAATTACCATATGATCTGGTAATTCTGAGTATTTTCTCAAACAATATGAAAAATGAATTTGAAAAGATACACTTATGTTTATTGCAGCGTTATTTATAATCAAATTAAGGCAGCAGCTCAAATGTACATCATTTGATCAATAAAGAGGAAGTGGGGTGTGTGTGTGTGTGTGTGTATGGTGGAAGATGGGTCATAAAAATATTGAAATCTTGCCATTTGCAACAACATGGATGGATCTAGAAGAGAAAATGCTAAGTGAAGTCATTCAGCAAAAGGCAAACACATAGGGTTTCGCTCCTGTAGTTCAAGAAACAAAGAAAAAAACAGACTCTTCACTGTAGAGAACAAACTGATGGTTACTAGAGGTGGATGGGGTAATGGGCAAAAGGGATTAAGAGTAGACTTAAAATGATGAGTACTGAGTCATATATAGAATTGTTGAATCCCTGTATTGTATTTATACCTGTATGTTAATGATACTGGAATTTTAACTAAAAATAATTTTAAAAACATATGGAGATAGTTCTCATTTTAAGGGTTTACTATACCAACATATATTTTGGCACTTTTTAACATTGTAAAATCATATTTTAAAAATAGATTTCTCTATAATATGGAACACTTGAGCTCAAAAAAAACCATCTATGTTTACAGTGGGATGTACTGTCATTTTGACTTGGAGAGCTGGGTAGATTTTATTCTTCTCTTCATACACAAATTACTGATTTTTTTCTATTTGTATATAGAATGGTAAAAATTATTTTTTACTCCTCTGAGTATATATGAAACAAAACAATTTTATTTCTACTTACAGGTCTCAATTTATTGATGATACATACCAGGAAGTACTGGATCTGCTACTGCCATTAAATCTTGAGGTGATTGTTGAGCGAAATTTATCTTGGGAATGGTACCAGGAGGTTCCTTGTTTTAATGTAAATGCTCAGCTAAAGCCCATGGAGGTGAGTTTTTTGGATGCTTATTTATTTCCATTTTGTGTGTTAAAAATATTTCTTGGGGGGCGCCTGGGTGGCGCAGTCGGTTAAGCGTCCGACTTCAGCCAGGTCACGATCTCACGGTCCGTGAGTTTGAGCCCCGCATCGGGCTCTGGGCTGATGGCTCAGAGCCTGGAGCCTGTTTCCGATTCTGTGTCTCCCTCTCTCTCTGCCCCTCGCCCATTCATGCTCTGTCTTTCTCTGTCCCAAAGATAGATAAACGTTGAAAAAAAAATTAAAAAAAAAAAATTTCTTGGGAACATAAGGTATTTTGGTTGTAGATATTACATACTGACCAACTTTGTCAAAATTGTAATAGTAGCTATATTAGAATTCATTGAATGTTCTCTATTCATTCATTCAGCAAACATTTGAGTGACTACTCTGTGTTAGGTTTTAGGCTGTATATGGGGAGACAGTGGCAAAGAAGCTATGGCATTGTCATTGGCTTCGTGGAACCTAACTAGTACCAAGGGTCGGTGGTCATGGTGATCTAGAGGTGTGATAGTTAAACTTTTAAAAAGTGCATAGGCATGTACCTAAAATAGTTATAAGTTGTGGTAGATTCTGTAAAGAAAACAAATATTAGATATGGTGAGTAGTCAGTTGGGTATATTAATTTAGAAGTTAGTGGGGAAGTCTAAGCTGGAAATAATAATTTAAAGTCATCAGCACCTAGATGGTATTTAAAGCCATGACAACATAAGAAATAGCCTAGAGAAAGTCCTAGAAGAAATGGAAGAGGTTGATAATGAAAATGGCAAATGGGTCATTTGCATAACTTTACTTCCCTGTTGCTTGATAGTGCTTCACAGCTCTCTAATATAACTATCCAAAATTTTTATTTTCCCTCTTGGCTGGATGGAAGTCAACTGTATCACATGCTTTGCTGAAGTGACGGCAACACATACTCTGTCTGGAAGGTTACTTTAAGAAACCTACTTAACAAATCCTCTTTCCTCCTCCAATTTCCTTTCTATTTTTCCCTATAAAAATTGTATTCAAAAAGAGAAAATCATCATTTTTAAAGGTTTCAGATTTTTATTTCAGAAATACATTTCGAGTTTAAAACATGATCATCTCAAGTGAAAAATCTTTATGCTCATAGTGTATAAGATCATATAGACTCCCTAACTTACAAATGGAAAGTATTTTCTTAAGATGAAAATTGAAGTCTCTCTATATTGATAAGACAACAGATCAAAACTTTTAAAACATTAAGTAGCATGGTTCACCCAGCTTACTGCACAGATCTTGGGAGTGGCCTGAGTTAGATCTCTGGGGGGCAGCAGGGACACCATTTTGTTCCATCCTTCTCTAGGAAGATCCATGCAGAATGTTCAGATGAACCTTTGTAGACCATCTGTAAAGGCCCAGCTGCCTTCTAGGGCAGATGAAATTGGGTCTTCCCCTACCCTGATCCCCCTGAATAGGTAGCAGATATGGCCCTGGGTCCACATATTTGACCCCTCCTGGTTCAGGGAAAGGTTGGAATCAGTTACTGTCATACATCTAGACTAAGTACTGCAGCCTCTGATTTTTGACTTCTTGGACTTCTGGGGGTGGCAAGATAGCCTGTCCTGACATGTAGGAGCCATAGTCCAGCGGTCCTGGAATCCTTGTAATTCTTCTGACTTCCTACACTGAGCTGTTTTCAAGAGTGAAGATTGCAAATACCGCTATTTTGGGGGGCATTTGATATATACATGTACTAATTGAAAGATGAGGTTTAGATGTAGTTGTCATATTTAACTTCAGCTTATTAATTTATATGAACATACTATTTTTGTAATACCAGGTATGTAATAAACACAAGATGTCATGAATAAATGAAAAAGAAAAGCACAGCATAAATAGCATGAATAAGATACACATGGACTTAATCTTAAAACACTAGATTAGCATATCATCTTTGAAATGCAGTCAAAGGAATCCTAGTACAAACAAAAGTGTTAAATTTTGTGGTGTTAAAATTATTTCCTTGAGGTGATTGAGTATATCAACTTAAAACTCAAAGGGTTTTTTTTTTACATAATTTTTCTTTTACATAATTGCTATTGTATTACAGTTCTTCAGAGAAACATAATCAAAGGGGTGGGTGGGTGGGTGTGTGTGTGTGTGTGTGTGTGTGTGTGTGTGTGTGTTTACACTTGGTCTGGATGTGGTAGACTGACTTCTTGATGGCTCGATTTTAACCTCTCCCTGACACAGAGGATGAGGTTCAGGAGGGGTCAAACATGTGGTCCCCTGAGGTAGACTGTAACAGTTGTTAACTATTCAGGTGGATCATAAAGACCCAGTTTCATACTGGTTGGTCTGCCCCAGAAGGCAGCTGGGCACTTATAGATGGTCTGTGCATGAGGTACATATTCTATATGCGTACCATATATGTAATACCTTGGATAATTTTGGACCAAATATCTAGATACTGTGGCCTAGCCCAGTTGACATTGAATTAACACAGTTTTCAATACAGATCTTACGTTGGTGATATTAGGCTAAATTCACAACACATAGGGTTTTGAGTGACTGTATGAGTTCTTTAAGTGGATTTAAGTATCATATTTGACCATTAAACCTCAGCTTTTTATATAAAGTCAGGATATATTTTTTATACCGAGGGCTTTTGTTAGGTTCAAAGGAAATAATTCATGTAAAACACTGAACTATTTTTCATGATGCAAGTCAGTATTTTTGATTAAATTGCATTTGTAAATACAGGTGCTTAGTAACCCAAAAAATGCAGAGTATCTAGGTAAAGGTGAAAGTTCATTTGAAAGGTTTTAAATTATTAGGTTAATTGGTATATGCCTAACAAAAAACTTTTATTCATAATTTCATTGGAATTGACATCTAATTTCCATATTTCACAAGGTACTAAAAATCACATGGTCATTTAGGAAACTCAGTATTATTCGGTTAGTACAAATATCTAATGCATTAAAAAATTGGCTTGTAGAGGATTGAAATGAAACACTTGGCTTTTCTGTGGAAGAGAATTTTGAACTATGTAAAGTAGTAATGTTAAAATAAGCAAATCTTTTCTTCACAGTTCATTCTTAGTCAAGAAGATTTAACAACTATTTTTAAGACATTACATGGCAATGTATGGTATGAAGAAGGTTATGGTGCCTCACCTGCAGGAGTAAAAGATGAACATAGTATTACTAGTGGAGCTAGTAATGCTTCACACCATTTAGAAGGTATGTTCTTAACTTCAAATTAGCCCTCCCCTCCCCATGTCCAACCCCTACTTTTCGTCTTTTATCCTTCTTTCCATTCTCTAGTTTGAGTTTTTGGAAAACAAGATTTATAGATCTTTTCTAAGTTCTCTAAATTGAGTATCTCTAAATTGTCTGTTGATTTTTTTTCTTTGAATCAAAATTCCTAATCGTGTTGTGACAAAATTCGTTAGTATTTATTCTTGTTATACCTACTGCCCTATATGTCCTTTTTTCAGTTTTTCTCACCATCCTCCTCTTTTCCCTTATTCCTAGTGCAGCCTATATCCCAGATGGGATAGTTTATATTAGTATCAAAATATTAAGGATGTCGAGAGAGAACAGTCACTGATAAATGATGAATTTCAGCAGATATCTGCAAGATAGATCGGTGGAGCAGAGCAGAGGGAAATCTAACTCAGTTGCATCTAATGTTGGATTTAATGTGCTGTATGGAACCTGACTGGGTCTTATAGGGCTGGGATGATTATATGCTTCACAAGAAAAAAGTTCACATTCTGTCATTTTGGGGTATCCTCAAACCTACCTACCTCAAAATGGAACCTACTAGTCCACTAGATCCACTCTTGCAAAGCCCTGAGATAATACACAACTTTTCCAGTCAGGGAAACACAAAAACAACCCTACATTTATAACATTATAGGACACTCTATCCTTATTGAGTAGTATAACCAGTCTAGTCCTTTGTTGTTAAAATATTCATAGTCAGAATAAGGAAATAGCAAGAACCAAAGCATAAAAGAAACAAAGATGGCAACTATTTTCTGAGTGAAAGAGAAATAATTGAGGTAACAGAATAGAATGTAAACAAACAAAACAAACTCTAATTCATAATCAGAGGATTTTGAGAATATAGAAACTGAATCCTACCATCACGACCTGCCCCCCTCTCAAGATAAGAAAGAGTTCTTGGAACCCCAAAATATGGTGAAATTTTGAAACAGAACAAATGCACTAAGCATGAATTTAAAACATAAATACTGAGTTGGAATATATAGTTGATGTAAAATCAGCTCCCATGACGCTGAGGAAAAATAAACCATAGAAATGTAAAATGAGATAAAACTTAAGAATGACAGACCTTTAATTACCTTGGGGTGCCTGGGTGGCTCACTTGGTTAAGTATCTGACTCTTGATCTCAGCTCAGGTCATGATCTCATGGTTTGTGAGATGGAGCCTCACGTTGTGCTCTGTGCTGACAGTACAGAGACTGCTTGGGATTCTCTCTATGCCCCTCCCCTGCTCATGCTCACTCGTTCTCTCCCCTCCCCCACCTCCCCATCAAAATAAATAAACTTCAAAAAAAAAGATAGACCTTTAGTCAAAGGTTGCAATCCAGAATAATAAGTATGTTAGGAGAAGAACTGAGAAAATGGAAGAGAAGAACCTTTGAAAGAAATAATAGAAAATCTCCAGAGCTAAATAAATAGTGAAATAAATTCTTGGATATAAAAAAAACATAACAACTGTCAGGCAGATTGAATAAACAAAGACTGCCCATGCACACATACCTTCATGAAATGTTAGAACCACAAAGGTAAGATTTATAGTTTCAGAAAAAAAGCAGGCTGTTTACTAGGGGCTTGGAAAAAGAGTTACTGGAATCAGATTACCCTGAACAAAACTGGATGGGATGGGGTAGATGGATGATAAAAGACAATGAAGTACTATAGTCCTATATCTAAGAAAAATGATTTTGAAGTTAGGATTCTATATATGATCGAACCTTGAAATGTGAAAACACAATAATTCTCAAATTTCTAGTGGCTCAAAGTTTACTTCATTGACATTCATCAAGAAATTACTTTGAAATATAATCTAGCAAAACAAACAAGGAATCCAGGAAAAAGGAAAACATGGGAATCTGAAAACAATGGGCCTACTCAGGAGTACATTGAAAAGGAATCCCAAAATTATCTGTTTGATTGGGCTAGGAAGTTCTTGGTTTTCATTAAAGGGGAATTCAGAATGCCTTAAGAAAAATTGTAAGAAATGGCAGAATGTCTTTAAAAAAGGAAAAACAGCATGAATTTCATGTAGTATATAGAATGAGGGCTTAATTAGATAAATAAGTGACATTTGGAAAGGAAGACATGCTTTTGGTTCTTAAGAAGGGAGATATCTCTACTATACAGTCTGGGCCAGAAGTGAAGTGGATTTACATTTTGCAGGATTTTGAGCCACTTTTAGAATATGAGAAAAGAGTCTTCTTTTTTGAGAGATGAACTAGTTGTGATATAGCAGTAGAGGAAGTGTTAATAATATACTATTACTCTCTTCATTGAAAATTATCACATAGCCATAGTTAACACATTGAAGACTTAATTATGTAAGTAAGAATGTAAATGTTATTAACTCTGTTAACATGGAAATGGAGATATAACTGATCAAAGCAGGAAAAGAAGAAGATGGGACGGATAGAGGAAGTGGTAAGGACTTAAAATAGTGGGGAGTGTAAAGATCATGTCCAAAACGAAACAAAAAATAGACATGTGAATATATTACTATTTTAATCATTTTCTTGAAATTTATGCCTACACTGAGGTGGAAGGAATAAGGTAAACAACTCTTAGGTACTCATCAACCCAGTTTCAACAACTAGTATCCTGTGACTGTCTTTATTACTGCTGTAACTCTGCTTTTTCTTCCCCCTACTGCCATCCCACTAAATGACTTTAAAGAAAATCTTAGATGGTCTACCTTCAATTGGTTTTTAAGCAGTAAGAACTTTTTAAATGTAGTCAGAGTAACATTGTCACCCCTAAAAAATGGCTATACTCCCTATAAACCATGAAAATATCCTGGTAGGCTTCATTTTCTCCTGATTGTCTCATAAATGCTTTTTTTTCTTTTCATAATGGTAAAGGAACCAATTTGCAAGGATGTTCTAACAACTTTAAATCTGTTGTACCTAATAACAGAGTTCCAAAATGTCTGCAACAAAAATTGACAAAACAAAAGGAAGAAATACCCCTATACAGAATCATAGTTGTGTATTTAGCACACCACTCTTAGTAATTAATAGAATATAGACAAAAATCAGAAAGAATATAGAACATTTGAACACTGTTAACAAAATTGACCTAATTGACATTAATATAATACTACATTCAACAATTGCAGAATGTACTTCTTTTAAAAGGGCTCTTAGAATATTCACAAGGATAGACCATCCTGGGAGGCCATAAAATTTTCTGGCCACATGGAATTAAATTAGAAATGAATAGAAGTAGGATGTCAGAGAAGCTTCAAATACTTGGGCATTAAACATTTTTCAAATAACCTGTGGGTCAAAAAAGAAAAGATGCGGGGCTCCTGGGTGGCTCAGTCGGTTGAGCGTCCGACTTCAGCTCGGGTCATGATCTCGCAGTTCGTGAGTTCGAGCCCTGCATCAGGCTCTGCGCTGACGGCTCAGAGCCTGGAGCCTGCTTCAGATTCTGTATCTCCCTCTGTCTGCCCCTTCCCCGCTCATGCTCTGTCTCCCTCTGTCTCTCAAAAATGAATAAACGTTAAAAAAAAAAATTTTTTTTTTAAAGAAAAGACAAAGGAAAGTAGAAAAGTGTTTAAACGGGAAGATAATGAACATAAAGCATACCAAAATTTGGGGATGCAACTAAAGCAGAGCTGAAATAATTTTGTAGCTGAAAAGGATTTGATTAGGAAAAACGAGTTTAAAAGATTAAATATTTTGCCTGGAGAAAGTAGAAAAGAGCAAATTAAACCCAAAGTAAATACAAGAGAGCAGTAATACAGGTATGAGTAGAAGTCAGTGGAAGAGAAACAGGTAAATAATAGAGAAAATTGGCAAAGTCAGAGATTATTTTCATTGGAAAAAACTAATGAAATTGATAAACTTTTAGGATGGAAGAAAGAAAGAAAAAAAATTAGCAGTATCAGAGTTAGATAGATACTGCAGATCACTACCAGGATAATGAGGAAATATTATGAATAATTTTGTGACTGGATTCTACAACTTGTTTGAAATGGAGAAATTACTTGGGAAACACAAAATTGCCAAAACTGACATAAGAAGAAATAAAAAATCTGAGTAGCTCTCTGTTAAAGGATTTCAATTTCAGTGGTGATTTCTTTGCAATATTTGAGTTAGAAATAATACCAGTGTTACACAAACTTTGCTGGAAAATAGAGGAAGGGGGATCACTTCCTTAGCAATTTTTTAAAGCAAGCATTACTCTGGTAACAAGGAAAAGAAAAAGCCAGTTCAGGAAAAGAATCTCGGGGTACTTGGTGGCTTATTTGGTTAAGCATTTGACTCTTGGTTTTGGCTCAAATCATGATCTTGAGTTTGTGGGATTGAGCCCTATGTTGAGCTCTGCGCTTACAGCATGGAGCCTGCTTGGGAAATTTCTCTCTCTCTCTCTCTT